AGAAAAGTAGCACTCGTCGGAGGTGGAACATGTGTTGGTATGTATTGTTTTCCCTCATGTGTACCAACTTATTTTAACACCAACAATTTCGATGTTAAATGTTAGAGGTTGAAATATAGAATGATAGAGAATGGTTTGACAATGACAAATGTACTGAATTTCGATTTGTGTTCATAGATGGTTGTAGGGCATAATAGGAAATGTTTGTTCGGATAAGTTGATCGATATTATTGATATCGAGGTGGTGAGCGTTTGGAGAGGTTTAGGCTTGGCGGAACAGAACGATGAAGTATCTATTTGTGGCGACACCGGCAGGGGTGGAGAGGACGAGCGTCGCCACGGTCGAGAGTAATGGAATAGGGCGTGACCTTGAGGCGAGTCTGTCAATTTCAATGTCTTAAAATCCCCCCCCCCCACCCCCCCCTCTAACAATTGTTAGGTAGTACATAACACTTAAATGACCACGCGCGTGTTGTAAATATAAATGGTGATGTAGGCATGTTGTTTAGTTTGAGCATTATAGGTGATGAGATCCAGAATGAGTAGACGGAACAGTTATTATTTATATTCTGGTTGAAAAGTGTTGAAGGCTTGGAGAGTGTGTATATGTGAATGGTAGACGGTATTGCTCTGGACATGCATAGATGGTGAAATACAGGTGAAGATGCGCTTACACAGTTTGGTGAGAAGAGATGGTTAGCTGGCAATAGGCAGACATCGTGTGAGGTAGGTGGACAGGGATTTTTGTTTCATAACGATGTATGTCCCATTGGATAGTTTCCTTCAGGCGTTCCTGTGCATTATGGTATGTTCCCCCCCCCCCCACCTCCCCCCTGTGTAGTTTATAGAAATGTGCGTGTATTTGATATAATAATGGTGATACTGAATTTGTATTCAACATTATTAACATTATCCTATAATGCCGTTTCGCAGGTGAGAGGCTTGAGTACCCGAGACGTGGACAACATGGTGTGTAGGTACTTTAGGGAGAGACCTGCAAGTGTTGAAGGTGGAAGTTGACGTGTTCCATACAAGGTACGAAAGAAAGTAATATGTTGTAAATGTTTATGGTAGTGCAGAGTCGTTGAGCATATAGTTTGATGATATTATGGATTGAAGTATAAATTAATAAATAAAAAATGGGAGGGGGGGGGGCTTGGTTAAAGGCTCGTCGTGACTGTGCTGATAGAGGGCAGTAGATGTGTGATGAAGGAATGGCAAGTGAATAGGTGATGTGGGCCAAATAATGGACAAATTGGGATTCATAAATGAATACTTAGTTGTAGGGAATCATAAAAAAAATAAATGAAATATGGAGTGTATGGAAGAAAGTAGGTATAAAAATGTAACATGGGAAAAGTTTGTGAAATATGAAGTGAAAATTGATATAAATGTAAATCAGATGTGAATGTCGTTATTTTTACACTAAAGGATCAAGAAGGTTAAGGTGTGGAATTTGTCAAATATATATAATCCAAACGTAAATGATGTATTATAATCGATAGGTTCAGGAATGATAGAATAATAACCCAATATATAGCAAGCAACTATATACCCAGAATTTGTTTTATAGATTGTGGAGATCATGGTTTATTGGTAGAGGAGATCGTACCCAGCGGACTTTGACGTACAAGGGAAGCAGAGGCTGATGTGCAAGAAGTGTTGAAGACAAGGATGACGCGACCCACACCGTGAAGAACTGAAAGGAGTTGATTGGCGAAGATATGAAGATACATTAGAGAATTATGTTGCAGAAATAATGTGTACAGTAGTAAAGATGAATGTGAAATGAAATAGTTTAAATCTCATTTATTTGGTGGAAGTGGAGTGTTAGAGATGATAATGTAGTCGTAGTGAGCGAGAAGAATGTAATTGTTTTGGCGTTACGTAGCATGTCGTGAGTGTTCCAATGATAGATGGGCCAAAATGTGTTTGTTGTGAAACCCCCTCAGTGTGTGGCTGGTTGTGACCGTGAGGGTGGGTTGGTGGGCAGCTGCCGGAGTGTGATGGTCCGTAGGTCAGTCCTCTGTTCTTTTACAGCCTTATGCTCATGCTGCTGCCTTTACCAAATTTGCCCGACCCCTTTTCCTTTTAGTATTGTCACCCCCTCCCCCCCCCCCCTCCAGCTTTTGGTTGGGCCCATAACTGTACTGGTGTTATTTCGTTCGTCCCCGTACTTGTTTCGTCCCCTATCCATTGTTCTAATGGCAGTGTTGTGTTTGTTGGTAAATGGTATACAGTCTGTTGCATTCATCTCCCTAGAAATGTCCGTTTCCCTTACTGATGTTAAGCACGTCCTGGACGCCTTGCCAGAGGGGGTGGTTATATTTTGTATAAATGAACGGTGTCGGGTGATGTTGTGACAAAGACCCCGAGACCGTGTTTTGGAACCGTTCGTCGTCGCTTCGTTTGTGTTGTGAATTTTGGTGAGGGCAGTCGTGTGGACTCTTTGACTCGCACCCTTTGCTGTGTGGATATTTGTGTCTGCTCGTCGTGCGTGTACTTAGAATTGACGTGTTAGGTTTTTGATGACCTCGATAAGTGATAATTTGGCGATCGTTTTTGTTTGGGCACTCCTGTTCCGTTCCGTAGGTGGCAGTCTGGTCTGTGCGTGTTCCTCGCGGCCTCGTGGTTTTTTGAGTGTCTTCAACGCTGCCCTCAGGTGTATCCCTCGCTGTTGCTTCCAGGGCACACGGAAGTGTGTTCGCACTTTTGTTATGTGGTTGTCATGTTGGTGACTCGTTCGTAAGTGTGTTGTTTAATGTTATCCTTTAGATTTCCACAGTTTTGTCCGCCTTGCCTATTTTTGAAAATGTGTGCGCCCCGGCCGTCTGCGGATGTAGGGCAGCGGGCTGTGATGACGTTAATTGAGATGGTTTGCCATGTGGCTCCGTGCACGTATCGTTATTTCTTGAATGTGCATAACGAGGTGTTGTAATCGTGGTCCTTTTTTGAGGCTTGTATGCCGTTGTACTCTGTATTTGGAGACCCGGGTGTCTGTGTACGTTCCCAAATGAGTTCCGCGCTATTGGCCTCAGGAGTTGTTTTGAAGGTGTTTGAGCGTATGTTAAATGTCTGATGTTGTGGTTTGAAGAGCATCACCACGTGTGTCCTCGTGAAAATAGGTTTTGCAAGTGGTGCAGCACGAGTGATGTCCTGGTGAAGTTTGAGGTCTATAATCGTATTTGTTTTGCTGCGAAGAGCTCCGTTGTTTGTCTTTTTCGACGTTGAAAATGCTTATGAGAGGACTTTGAGACAGCATATTGCGTATGAAGTTCGTTGTGTTGGCGTTCGTGGTAATATCCCTGTGTTCGTTGAAAGTTTTGTCTCGTCGTATCTTTCTAGTGCGGCTTGGTGCCACTGTGTGTGGGTGTTTTCTGCAGTTTGAAGATGTGCCCCAAGGTATTGTTGTGAGTACTACTATTTGTGTCCTGAGTAGTTTGTGTGGTTTGCCTCAATGGTGTCCTTTCCTCCCTTCCTTGTGGCATGTTTTCTGGTGTTTATGATAGTGTTTGCTGTGAGGGTGATGAATGGGCTGTCCTTCAACGGGGGCTTCCAAGTTTTGGTTGATGGCGTTTGATGTTTGGCCACGGATCATGGCTTAATACTAAGAGTTTTGGCATGAGTTTGACTGTGAAGCGGGTCGTTGTTCGTCCCTGTTTGTCAGTTTATGGTCATCCCCTTGAGTACAAAGATTGCAGGCAGTTATTATGGTTAAACTTTGACACTCGTTTGTCTTGGTCGCCCCATGTTTTTTAGCTCAGTGTTGGGTGGTGTAAGGCCCTTAACGTACTTAAGGTGTTGTCTCATAGTTGTTAGGGAGGAGATAGGCGCACGCTGGTATATTTGGATTGGTGTGTAAGGTTGATATGGTTTGGGTGCGTAGTCTTGTGGTTGTCGTTGTACTCTCTTTGCCGTGTTGATCGATTGCACCATACTGGGTAGCGCGTCAGCTGTTGTTGATTTCGTTCAAGTCGTAGCCTCGGGTTGTACGGTGACAGTGTCTTTGTCTGTGCATGATTGCCATGTTGCGGGATTTTTACAGCATCGTCAGGGGCCTGTATGGTGGTTTGACTTGTAGTTGGCGTTGCTCCTCAGGACGTTCAAGAGGGTCGTGTCCGTTGGTCTCGCTTACAAGAATGTGTTTTGGTTAATATTTCTGGTATTGTTCGCTCGTTGCCCCCTTGGTCAATTGTGTACATATGTGACCCGCATCACTAAATGTTTGACCCCTCCTACATATATGAAATTGGTGTTCGTTGAGGACTCTTGTTGTCAGTGGGAGTCCGTTCCCATGTTCACGGATGTGTGGTATTTGTTTGTTTTTGCTGAGGGTAGCATGTTTTCAGGGGAACTGTATGGTATTGTGTATGGTGTTCGTGTCGTGGTGTCAATCGTGGTTCGTGGTAGTAGTTTCGTAGTTGCGTCATGGGTCGTATAATGGGGTCCAACCGGTGGTAATGTCGAATGAACATTGGCTGCTTGTTATCTTGAGTCAATATAAGTTTTGCGTTTTTCTTGGTTACCATCCATGTTGGTGTATGTTTAAATGAGGGTGGTGATGGTGGCGGTAAGGACGCTATGCGCACTTGTCCCATGTTTGCGAAAGTTGTTCTTTATTCGGACGTTGACCCCGTTCTTAATGTAGCGCCGCCCTGCTCGTTATTGTTGAAAAATGAATGTTTCTCTGATGGTCGTACAGATCCTTGTTGAATGTCGTGAATTTTCAGTTTTGGAGTTAGAAATGTTTGATGTGTATCGCGTTATGCGTTTTTGTTTTGGTGTTGGCATCGTTGGTAATATTTATCGTTCAGTGTTGAGATTTGATGGTGGTACATATCGTTCCCGGTTTGTTTTTTTGTTGATAATTACTTATATCTTATCAACTAACGATTTCTAAGTAACACTGGAAGAACGCGTTTTGGTTGATCATAACGAATTGAATTTGAGACGTAGCTAACGTTGCGGGCTTTGTACCATATGTTGAGTGCTGTAGGTAGTTGAAATGTGATTTTGAGAGAAATTTAAGTGTTGATGGGTTTTGCGTCGGGCATGTTGTGAAAGTGACATGATTTAGTAATGTATGTAAAAGTTATGACCGAAATACGTGTAAATGAGTATTTAAGGTGGTTGTTGGTAAATAACATTGAGGAAGAGATTGGCATTGTTGTACGTGGACGTTTGAAGGGTGCACGAAGAATAAAGGGATAAAATGAAGAAAAGGAATGAGTTTGCCGTAGTAAATAAGATGTTTGGTATGGTGGAAATGTGAGATGTGCAAAGCCTAAAGAAGCAAGAACGTAAAGATTATCTGTAAGTGTTTGCGTGAGGTTGAGCCCAAGAATGGATATATTGTAGAGTAAGAAATAAGTGTGAATATAAAATAGAACTGTAAATGTACATTGACAGTTTAGTTGTAGAGGTATGTAAATAACGGAGGTGTCAAATAATATATCATGGTTTATGTAAGAAATGTTGTAATTTAGAATCACTAATTGAAATATTGAGTTTGAGTGAAAGTATTGATATAGAAGAGTATTCATAAATACATTTAAGTATATTAAAAAGCATTCCACAAATACGGGAATGAAAATGATTTCATAAAAAAGTATTGTATAAATATATGGTAATGGATATTAAGTAATAAATAGTATGTAATGAGTACGTTTGCAGGTAATAAGCATATATTTGTACTTAGTAATAATGTAATAGAATATTGCCTTGTAATGGTAATTATTAGGATGTGAACATTGCAGTATGGCGTATATTGATTGACCAATCAACGATATTATTACATGTAATTACCTAAGTGTAATTACCTAAGTGTAGTTACAGGATGAGAGCTACGCTCGTGGTGTCCCGTCTTCCCAGCACTGTTTGTCATATAACGCTTTCAAACTACTGACGGTCTTGGCCTCCACCACCTTCTCACTTAACTTGTTCCAACCGTCTACCACTCTATTTGCGAAGGTGAATTTTCTTATATTTCTTCGGCATCTGTGTTTAGCTAGTTTAAATCTATGACCTCTTGTTCTTGAAGTTCCAGGTGTCAGGAAGTCTTCCCTGTCGATTTTATCAATTCCTGTTACTATTTTGTACGTAGTGATCATATCACCTCTTTTTCTTCTGTCTTGTAGTTTTGGCATATTTAATGCTTCTAACCTCTCCTCATAGCTCTTGCCCTTCAGTTCTGGGAGCCACTTAGTAGCATGTCTTTGCACCTTTTCCAGTTTGTTGATGTGCTTCTTAAGATATGGGCACCACACAACAGCTGTCAAAGGTTTCGTACGTATGTCATAGTTTTTGCTTTGAATGTATTGAAGAGATTGATATATTCGCACAAACCCTATAACTTGGTGTTTTTATACTCATTGAATATAATGTACATTATTTCTTCTATATTAAAATATTATAAATAGTTATATAGTGTATTTCTAATATATATATATATATTATACAATGTATAATATTTGAATGATAACCTCTATAATATATCTTTATACTTTATTATACATATTGAAGAATATATTTTAAAATTGATCTATACTATGTATAGATATATTAGTTTATATTTAACATAATAAAAATCATATAATTTTATATCTTTATTGATAATCTAATATTAGTATTGATATATCAAAACACAATTTATATATCTCAGATAAATATTATGTATATTCCAATATATTTTCCTATGATTATAAAATAGAATATATATATATATAGGATTGGACTGAGCCGTCGGTGTAGATACAGTGCTCGCATTGCATAGTATAGAGTAGTGTACTT